GGCTGGGGCGGTGGGTGCGCGGGGGAGGAGGAGGAAGAAGAGGAGGAGGAGGAGGTGGGAGTGGGCCTGTGGCCCCGCGGGGGGGGCTCGCCGTTGGCCTGCGCCCTCTCCTTTCCGGAGGAGGCAGGGAGCTCTGCGGCGGCCGCGGCAGCAGTAAATGGCGTCATGTGGATCCGAGGCGGAACAGAGCAGTTGTTGTCCCAGAGGATATATCGCATCCGGTCCCAGCTCATTGGCTCCGCGGGGCTACATTCACTCACACTCCAGCGCCCGCCAGCGCTCCGAGCCACAGGAGGCATTCAAAAGGGCAACCGCGCCGCCTCGCGTGTCCTCAGGCCGCTCTTGCAGCCTGAGCGCCAGGACGCGGGCACTTGCGGGGCCGTGCTGGGCAAAGCGGGGTCACTTTATCCAGTACCAAGGAAACACTGACCTTAAATTTTTCCCAGAGGCTAAAAGGACGCGCCTCAGGCTCGGTCTGACTTTAGGCAACTTTTCTCCTCTCCACTACGAAAGGGGTGTGGACATTTACAACTAAATCCTAGCTATGCGAATTTAGCATTAAAAATAAATTGCAGGTTTTAAGACTTTTTATCCAGAACCGACTTCGAATCCTTTTTTTCCGGTTCTTCCCTCCTGGGGGGAGGGGAGAAAGAAGAAGAGGGGAAAGGAAGAGAGCGGGAAGTGAGGTGGGAGGGCTATTGGTTTATTCTTTGTCTACTAGATTAACCCGATTATACACCAGGCACCAGCAAACTGCCTCCCCCTACCTGAGAGCTGAGAGTCTAGTCGCCCCCGCCCCTGGGAGGGGGTGGGCAGAACGCAGATTCAGGTTTCAAGTCCTTATGGTTTTGCTAGGGTTTGCGTTTGATGCTGTAAATCTGTAGTTTTTCAGTTTAATAAATTTACAGTTTTTTTCAAAGTTAGCTATTGAGGGAGGTGTTTGAAGATAATTATTAGTCATTTGTATGCTGTGAGGAAATTACAAAACTTAAGCTTTTTAAATTTATTTTTCTTAATTTTAATTAAAGTTTACAGAGACTTTGGATTTCCATTCATTGTTGCACTTTTCTGCCTATCCAGCCTCTCTCCTCCGCCCCCAGGTCGCTCTTCTCTTTGAAAAGTAAAAGAAAAAAGTTAATACAGTAATGCACACGTATATTACTTCAAATGCTACTGCTTCAGAAATGGAGAGAAGGGGGTGTCCTTTTCACTGCCCCTTCACTAGAAGTCACTTCATTTCCGTGTCTCTTTATCTAGCCCACTTTTAAAGTGAATTGCACCCTCCTACTTAAGACATAGAAAGGGGGATAAAGATATGCATATGCTCTCCTCTGACTGCAATACATTTACTTGGAATCTTGCTGGCACGTGGAAGCATGAGTAGGAAATTAAAACATAC